CAGAGGACCTGAGTTCATTACCCAGCACCCACATCAGGTGGCCCACAACCACCTACAACTCTGCTCCAGGATCCAATGCCCTCTTTTGGCCTCTGAAAGCACCAATACACACAGCATGCACCCACATAGAAACACAAATACACATGAAAGTAAATAAATAAATCTTTTTCAAGTCAGTATCAAACAAATGTTTTCTCAGTGTTTAAAACAGGAGAGGAGAATACAGGGTCTAAGCCACAGAAAACAAGGTAAGTACCATTCACGCTTCCCTTGGGGCTGAAGACAGGGCCCAGTGGCTAAGTGTCCATACAGCTCCCGCAGAGGAGCACCCCATGACCACCTGTAACTCCAGCTCCAGTGGATCTGATGACCTCTTTGGCCTCCACAAGCACCAGCACGCATGTACACATACCCATACATAGACATGCGTGCAGACACATAATAAAAAATACACCTTACAGTGGCCTCCTTCATTTTCGTTCTTGGGTTCATTTATCTACTCACTGTGCTATGTGGAAAACACATTGATAGCAGATACAATTTGTATAATCTAGCCGGGAAATGAAGCCAAGCTTAAAGCTCGGATATTTTAGGTTAGGCATTATCATTTCACTTGGTGATTAGACATAAATAATCAATGGCTATAGACTATCCCTACAACTGATGTTATATTTAACTTGTATACAGCCAAAGCAAGCATTGCTGGGGAATCTAAAACAACGTGTCCTGGGAGAGAAGGGGAGCCTGGGAAACGGGTCATCTCTCCCGGCTTCACACATTCACATAGACAAAGAAGTGCATGTCTACTACACACCAGACAGTCAGTGCTGGGCACTAAAGAGCCTCAGGCCGCTGGGCGGTGGTGGCGCACGCCTTTAATCCCAGCACTCGGGAGGCAGAGCCAGGCGGATCTCTGTGAGTTCGAGGCCAGCCTGGGCTACCAAGTGAGTTCCAGGAAAGGCGCAAAGCTACGCAGAGAAACCCTGTCTTGAAAAACCAAAAAAAAAAAAAAAAAAAAAAAAAAGAGCCTCAGGCCACTGACTGACCTAGACCCCAGGACTCACTTCTAGGGTACCCAGCCAGTGGGTTTCCCACAAGCTGGAGGGATCCACAGTTCAGGGACTTCCTGGAGATCTTCTCTGCACACCTGACTCATTTTCTCCCCCACCCAACTGTACCTCCTAAAGTCACACAGTTGGATTTAGATTACTTATCTCAAAACCAGAATACAAGAACAACTCTAATTGTTTTTAAAAGCCCATTCACCAGATAGCCTTTTGGCTTAATAAGCAGACAGTCACGGGACAGCTAAACTATCATGACATATTATGGTCTGCTCCAAGCAGGGTGTCCTGGTTTTGCACAGGGCGACTCCTTAATCTTCAAGGTGATGGATGGGGCTGGGACAGCCACAGCCCTTGGGCCCACATCCTCTCCCTTCTCCTCTGAGTTCAGAGTACTCTCAAAATGGTATCATTTCCTGTGTGTTCCGGGCAGTGAGCATGGCTGAAAAAGCAGCCCTTGCCCTGGACTACACCCATGTTCCAGAAACTGTCTAAGATTCAGCTGGGGCAGCCTCTCCATGACTTCCCCTACATGTGGGGAATGAGTTTATCACAAGTATGAAGAGGTGTTACACTACAGCAGCTCTCGTTTCTCTTCTATTTCTTCAGTGGGATAGTCTGCTAACTGTGAAATCCCAGATCCTGAAAAAGGAACGTTTTCTGGAAGAAAAAGAGGCAAAACTTTAAAGTGAGACTTGGAGACGGCTGAAGGTGTCTCAGCTAACAAATGTGAGGAGGAGTCTGCTGTGCGTCAGAGGCCATGGACACTGGGGTCACACCTACACAGGCATGCACACTCCCTGTCCTCGTCAAGCCCAAACCCTTTGGAAGCACATCAGAAAGAACAATTGTGGCTTAGTAGGGTAAAGTACAGAGATGGGGAGAAACACGGGGTGCTGGGTGTGGGGTGGGGATCATCAGAGCGCCGGTGAGGGAAGGCTTCAAGCCAGGAGACATCGAGGAGGGGGAAGAAGCAGAGCTTGAAATGGCGGAGTGGGCTGTGGGCGTGCAGGAGGCAGGAGGGTGAGATGGGAGGGTGAGATGGGGAAGGGTGACATTCCAGGCAGGGGGACCGCCACCTGCCTAAGGCACGGAGGACTGTGAGAGGTCCAAAGGGCTGCAGTGCAGATGAACTCAGAACATGTACCGCCATACCTAGCGTGGAACGGCAAGTTAGAAGGGGCTACGAGAGGAAAGGGAAGGGGGTGGGGGGCAGGACGGAGAGGCAGAGACTGAAGAAATCTTCAGAAGATTCCTGAAACTGGGAGAGGGAAATGAGCACATGGTTCCTTTGCTCATGAGAACTTTAACGATTTTATGTAATATAGAACCCAGGAAAGCTAGCAAAATTTAGATGTATAAAAGGCTACATTTTCAAAACTATGTAATTATCGGAAGTAACAATGTTACCTAACTTTGAGGACATTTCTGTCAGGGTATAGTTCATAAATGAATAGACAGAGTACATTTTAGATGGAATTTTACATAGTAAGTTCTTTCTCTACACTATCCCCGTATATAAATTTATACCCTGAAAAACAGAATGCACTTCACCATAGCAACGGTCTATATCAACTCCTACTCAAGTTAGGAAGAGCATATGTAAAGAAATGAATATTCCGGAACACTATAAGCTGCCTACTAGAAAAAAATCATTCCGTTTATTTTGTAAAAATTGAAATACATGAGTTACAATGATTTTTAAATGCTCCTGTAACTAGAAGGCTATTTTACTTGTTCAAATCTGACTTATTAACAACATTCTGTTTTTTTAAAAAAGAGGAAAATGAAAATAGAAGAAAAAATAAAAGAGAATGAACAAAGAAAACATCAATGCCAAGGACAACTTTCTTGGATCAAGGGGATGGGCATGGGCAGTAACAGAACATGTTTCATGAGTGCCTTATCAGTTAAACATAAGTCAAGCTACTAAATATTAGAACTGTATTATTTCTCTAGAGAAGCTATACTACCAAAATGGAAACTAACAAGAGAATTCTTATTCTCATTTAGGTTTCTCCTTAAAGACAACAAAAATTAGTATCTGTAACTCATCTGACAAATTGCTAGCATACGCATTTACTAGTAAGAATGAACAAGTTTCCAGACACTGCGTCCCTGGTCGCTCTGGTCTCAATGTCTACGCCTCTCCTTCCCACGATGACAGTACTACAGGGCTTTGAGGAAGTGATTAATATACAGGGATCAGGAGGGACCTCCCCCTTCTCCCTCCACGTGAGAACATAGTGAAAGGTGCCACACATAAAGCACTAAACCAGCTCCCACAGGGCACTGACACCTTCATCTTAAGTTCACAGTCTCCAGAATCCTGAAAGACAGTTTCTGTTGACTGGAAGTCATCCAGTCTATGGGACTTTGCTATAACAGTCTGAACAGACCCAACATACAGATTATAAATTGCAGCATGGATCTTAAAAGGTCTTATTAATAAAAACAAACCTGAAGCCAGATATTGAGGTGTACGCTGAAAGATCAAAGAAACAGAACAAGCCACATCTAACCTCACTTTGCCAATTCCTCAGCTGACCTTGTTTCCTCAGACTGGAAGCCTCTGCATCCTCATCTGAATGGATCTGAGCTGAACTGCTGCTAAAATCTAAAAACAAGGCTCTAGTTCCTGGTCCTCACACCTTATATACCTTTCTGCTTTCTGCCATCACTTCCTGGGATTAAAAGCGTGTGTCACCATGCCTGGCTTTTTCCAGTGTGGCTTTGAACTCACAGAGATCCAGATGGATCTTTGCCTCCAGAATGCTAGGATTAAAGGCGTGTGTGCCACCATTTTCTGGCCTCTATGTCTAATCTAGTGGCTGTTCTGTTCTCTGACCCCAGATAAGTTTCTTAGGATACACAATACATCAACCACAATAAACTATCAACAAACCCTGTAAGGCTTGATATGTAACATTAGAGCAAATGGAATTCGAAGCTTTTCATCTCACTCTACGCACTCATGGCTGGCCAAACTGACCATGTCACACATCCTTGCTCCGTGGCCCACCATGGTCTATCGCTATCATCCCAGCTCCATGATAGCCTCTCTCTGGCTGCTCTCCTCAGTCTAAATTCTGCCGCTGACTTAAAACTCTAATGCTTTGTTTCTAGCCTCTCTGTGCGAAGCTTCTACCATGCACAGGCTGCCTGCTATCTTGCTGCACTTTTCCATTCAGGGTTCAGAAAGTTCTTGTTTCTTCAGGTTCTCCCACAGCTGCTTGCCCTCACTGCAGACACCCACAAACCTCAATTACCATTCCTGGAAGTCCAATATCTGAATCACTATCATCTTCCACAATAAATCCCACTGCCATTTTAGACAACATTAGAGGGGACAGCCCTCTCTAACTTTTCTTTCCCAAACTCTTGTTCCATGACCTCACTTCCACCCTGCTACCCACTTCCTGAATCTTGCCATCACCCACAACACCAACACCTCTGAAATCCTGCTTTTCTATGGAGGAACTAAGTATATGTTAAATTAATAATAATGTGGGATCATCGGTGTTCTCTAAGAGAACTCCAGCCTAGATCGGCTAATCACTTCTGATTCTTTCAGAGCATCTGAAAATAGTGCCATGTAGGACAAAGCACACTGATGCTGTATGCTAATGGAAATCTGAAAATGCACTGTTTGATTCCAACATCATTTCCGTATTTGTGAATATAAATTATTTTTACTAGGTTACACAGAAGAAGCAAGATAATCACCTTTAGTTGCTAAGTCTTTCCATGTACAGAGAACTTTCCATGGGAATTACACCAATTCCACAATTGATAGTAAATATGATTATGCCTGGGATTGGTCCATTTACAGCTGAAGATAAAACCAAATAACTTACCAAATTACTCATTTGGTAATCACAAGTTTGAAATCAATGTCCTTATCACACACTGGCTTTGGTGTCATGTGGTACTTACTGATAAACTCGTACTGTTGGGCACAAACTGATCCTGCTCGCCCAGCAACACATCAATCATAGGATGCCTTCCATTTTTAATGATGATTTTCTTTTCTTCTTGTAGAGTTGGCCTGAAAAAAAAATAGTTTTATCAACTTGTAGATATGGAAGCAGCTTTCTAAAAGAAGCACTGACTAGCTTGGCATGGTGACACCCCTTTAACCTCAGCACTAGGGAGGCAGAGCCGGGGAGGTTTCTGTGAGGTCGTGGCCAGCCCACATAGACTGACACAGCATGAGAAGCTTTAGTACCCAATATGGACGACAATCAACCTTAGACCTCAGAAACACATGGTAGAATAATAGTTGAGAACAGAGTCAAACTAATCAGCAATTAATCAGAAATCAGCAACTGGAAATAACAGCACACTGAAGGACAAGTCTCAGCAAGCCTGAGGAAGTCTATTTTCATGTGATTTTGGTTTTCATCTGTCTATCATTATCTGAGATCAAAGCACTACACGCATCACTAAACACAGTTCAGATCACTGGTACATCATTTCACTAGTCATGGAAAGTCATTTCCAGGTTAAATTAGCTTATCAGTTTTTAAATTTTTTATATTTATTTATGTGTATGAATGTGTGCCATGTGCGGGCCTGGGAACTGTGGATGGTTGTAAGCAGTCAGATCAGATGGGTACTGGGAACTGAACTCAGGTCCTCTGTAAGAACACCCTGTGTTCCCAACCACTGAGCCTCTCCCCAATCAATCATATTTTAAATACAGCTTTATTCTATTTATCAAATCCTCCGAGGTCAACACTGGAATCGGTTTGGTGTCTCCCTTCCTGGGCCTTCATCTGCACAATTGTACTCATAGACATACTGCACTGGCTGTGCTTTATTTGAAAAACAGACTCATATTTCAATACCCCATCCCACAATAACTGTAATGCAATAGCATTAATGCAATTACACAGAAAATATATTTTACCATCTACCACCTGGGTCTAATGGATCCTTATTTTTTTTAAAATCTATTTTAAAGATAACTTTACAGAAGTGAAATAATAGAATAATTTAAAAAAATCAACCTCAGAACAAATTATTGTTATTGTTATTATTATTATTATTATTATTATTATTATTATTATTATTATTATTTAGTAGCAGTAGAAACTTTCTGGGATTGAGGCCATGACTTCACTCATGTTAGGCAAGTGCTCCATCACTAATCTATAGTCTAATAATCATGGGAAACCAAATTTTATTCATTTTTTTCTTGGTCTTCAAGGTTTATATACACCTGGGATGGATAACATATGCAGAATGCAACATATTCATCTTGAATACTAGATTCCAAATTTTACATTACTTCTAGGAGGTTGTAGTTCATAGTGCTGGTGCTTCTGATACTTGCATCAACAAAAAATGGAATAGTTGGATAATTTTTGAAATTGCTCAAAGCTCCTAATTTTCTTAAAGAGACAGTTATCTTCATCCATAATGCAAAACACTTTCATTTTTAGATTCATAAATACCAATTAGAATAATCAATCAAATGAATCCTTTCACTAAATGTCTTCTGTTTGCTTTCAATTTCCTGCCTGCCCACCTACAAACTACAGCAAGTAAATTTTGTTGAACAAACACAGACACATATCAAACCATGTCTTTTAGCAAAAGGGATAATCCAGCAAGTATCAAACGGTGGCTGATCCCCATGCTTGCTAACCAGGCCAGAAGAACATATTTCAGTTTACCCTACAGAATTATTTACAATCACTTCTTGACGTATCCATAACTGTAACACAACATCAACAACTGGGCACATCAACCTGTAACCTGAACACCCATAATCCCCAGGGGCTTCTACAGGAGATCCCCCACTGTCATGCAAGTGGTTGTGTCCTCCTCGTCACCTCAGTGAGTGAGTGACTGTGAAATGTCTTCTGGTAACCATGCCCCGCCCCTGGCTACTGTGGGTAAGCAATGAAAGCACTCAACACACCCGGTCAAAGTCAGAAGTGATTACAGCAGTGGTACAACACTGTGTTCTTTTCATACCTCTGGAAAGATGTTTTAGCAGTTTGGAGAAGACAATTAAAACAGAAAAACGGTGTGATGGGGATTTCTTCCCAGCACTTTGGCATCATCGTCCCCCAGTCCCTTGCCTAGGACTCCTGCACTGCACTGGAGTAAACTGACCGAGAACGCCGGAACGGGGGTAAAACAGTGAGTAGTTCGGGGAACTCGGAGCAGGAAAGAGTCTCAAGTCTTTCTCAGAGCTATAAAAAGGTACAATGGACCTCTGAGGTAAATATAAGGCAGAATTTATTTTTTAAGCCAAAAAAATTGTTTTTCTTTGTCCTCTGGAAGCTATTTTAAAAATGCTTACAGCTTGGCAAACTAAGACACCAGAGCGTTTCTCATCAGATCTTCAACATTCTTTTGAGGCAGCTACCCAGACAATAAGTTAATCATTCTCTGATGTTAGACATTTAGACTACAGCCAAGTTTTCACTGTTCTAACATGTTCTAATACTGCTACACTAAATCATTCAGTATGCATGCCTCTCTTTCTCTGCCCCCACCCGCCCCCACCATTTTTCTCTTTTATCTCTTCTCGGAGTCTTGTTTGGGGTGACTCTCTACCAAGCGAAGTCAGGGCATCGTCTTTGTGACACTGGTGTGACTTCTCTGAGATTTCTGCTGGAGAGCCAAACTGTGGCTGATTTGTTCGGCTCTAATACAGACAACGACTTACCCTGTTGCTATTGAAATGATATAACGACAAAACACTTCTTAGGAGGGTAAGAAGCAGGGAAAATTCACAGTCCTGCGATGCTATGCCAGGAAAGAAGAGCTACGGCAGGGAAGACAGGCAGGGCGCACTGAGACATCAGAGGGTGGTGAGGGGAAGGACTGAGGCAATCTAGATAGTTCCTGGAAAGAATGAACCATATGAACATGAGCAGATTTAGTTACTATAATTTATTATATATTTTTAAATTGCAGCCTTCTCCTTTAACTGTCTCAGAGGGACAGAGTATAAATGATGTCAGTAAAACAAGTAAACATACCACAAATTAGACAGGAAGGGCCAAATAAGAGCTTTGCCTAAAGGTTACAGGACAGTCAATAAGAACACATTAACAGCACGACGAGAAAAGATTGCACTTGTGAAGCCGAGGAATGAAGTAGAACTAAAGACCATGGCTCACAAGCACAAACATGGTAACAAGCTGAAAATTTAAGAAAAAGGTGTACACCTCTCAGAAACATACAATTTAAAATGCAGCTTACATGCAACTTTCCTATTTAATGGCTATTTATTTACTTTAATTTTTTGCCAAAGAGACTAATGCAATACACTGTCAGAAGTAGATAAGATTATGTAGTTTCCCCCAAAGCCTAGTGGATTTTTCCTAATATAAAATACACAGTGTATAGTTTGGAAAATTTTTATCATTTGACATGTTTTCTGAAATGCTTACTGATGGATTTGATGATCTGGAACAATTATTGGACCGAGGACAAACAGAAAAGTTGGCTAAAGTGCACAAAACAACTGTCCAGAGGCGCCAGATAACTAACATGTCATTAGCAAGCACAACCTAGTTAGGATAGAGGTCCAGATAACTAACATGTCATTAGCAAGCAGGACCTAGTTAGGATAGAGGTCCAGGAGAGGCCATCATGAAGTGCTGAGAGGTATCTAAGGGCACGGGGCCAGCTGTGGCCTGGAGAAGGCGCTGTCAAGAACTGCCCCAGGCACCAGCGTAGAGCCTGGAGGAGTGCAGCCATCTCTCCATCACCTTAATCCTGATCTGGAGCAGTAATACCAGACTGAAAGTGTCCTGAGATGCCTACTGGATGCAAAAGCAATTCAGAATGGGTACACCATAAAACCATTTCTACAAGTGATGATTAAAATCACCACTACTCTCTTTTAGATATAAATTATAAACAGGATGAGAAAGAAATCAGAGAAAAACACCCTTTACAATAGCCACAAACAGTATAAAATATCATGGGGTAACTCTAATGAAGCAAGTGAAAGACCTGTATGACAAGAACTTTGAGTCTCTGAAGAAAGAAATTGAAGAAGATATCAGAAAATGGAAAGATCTCTCATGCTATTGGGAAGGTAGGATTAACATAGTAAAAATAGCAATCAGATTCAATGCAATCCCCATCAAAACCTCAACACAATTCTTCAGACTTGGAAAGAACAATACTCAACTTCATATGGAAAAACAAAAAAAAACTCAAGATAGCTACAACAATCCTGTATAATAAAGGAACTTCTAGAGGTATCACTATCCCTGACTTTAAGCTCTACTATAGAACTATAGTAATAAAAATAGCTTGATATTGGCATAAAAACTGATATGTGAACCAATGGAATCGAATTGAAGATCCTGGAGTAAATCCAAACTCCCGATTTTTGACAAAGAAGCCAAAATTATACAATGGAAAAAAGAAAGCATCTTCAACAAATGGTGCTGGCATAACTAGATGGTCACATGTAGAAGAATGCAAATAGATCCATTATCTATTGCCCTGCATAAAACTCAAATCCAAGTGGATCAAAGACCTCCACATAAATCCAGTTACACTGAATCTGATAGAAGAGAAAGTAAGAAGTAGCCTTGAACACAATGGTATAGGAGACGGTTTCCTAAATATAACATCAGTAGCACAGACACTAAGAGCAAAAATTAATAAATCGGACCTCCTGAAACTGAAAAGCTTCTATAAGGCAAAGGACACAGTCAATAATACAAAACAATAGCCTACAGAATGAGAAAAGATCTTCACCAAACCCATTTCTGACAGAGGGGCTAATCTCCAATGTGTATATATAACTCAAGAAACTAGACATCAAAATACCAAATAATCCAATTTAAAAAATGGGTACAGATTTAAACAGGAAATTCTCAACAGAAGAATCTCAAATGGCCAAGATACACTAAAGAATTACTTAACATCGTTAGTCATCAAGGAAATGCAAATCAAAATGACTCTGAAAAACCATCTTACACCTGTCAGAATGGCTAAGATCATAAATGCTAAGGAGAGCCTACATTGGAGAGGATGTAGAGTAAGGGGAACACTCCTCCACTGCTGGTAGGAGTGTAAACTTGTACAGGCACTTTGGAAATTGGTATGGTGGTTTCTTAGAAAATTGAGAATCAATCTACCTAAAGACCCAGCTATACCAATCTTGGGCACATACCCAAAGGATGTTCAATCATACATCACACAAGGACACTTGCTCAACTATGTTCATAGCAGCATTATTCGTAATAGCTAGAGCCTGGAAACAATCTAGATGTCACTCAACTGAAGAATAGATAAAGAAAATATGATATATTTTGGAGTATTACTCAGCAGTAAAAAAACAATGACATCATGAAATTTGTAGGCAAATGGATAGAACTAGAAAAAATCATCCTGACTGAGGTAACCCAGACCCAGAAAGACAAACATGGTATGTACTCACTCACTCATAAGTGGATATTAGATGTAAAGCAAAGAAAGGATAACCAGGCTACATACAATTCACAGCCCCAGAGAAGCTAGCTAACAAAGAGGACCCTAAGAGGGACACACAGATTTTCCTGGGAAGGGGAAATAAATGAGATCTCCTGGGTAAATTGGGGGTGGGGGTGGGGGTGGAGGGGAGGGGATGAGGGGATGGGAACATGAGGGATTGGGTTGGTCAAGTTGGGGGTGGGATGAAGTGGGAGAGTATGAAAGAGATAACTTGGGGGTTAGGGAGAAACCTGGGGCTAGGGAAATTCCCAGGAATGCACAAGAATGACCCCAGCTAAGACTTCTAACAATAGAATGGAGAGGGTGCCTGAACTGGCCTTCTCCTATAATCAGATTGTTGACTACCCTAATTGTTAACAGAGATCCTTCATCCAGTAACTAATGGAAGCAGAAGTAGAGATCCACAGCCAAGCACTGGGCAGAGCTCCCAGAGTCTAGCTGAAGAGAGGGAGGAGGGATTCTATGAGCAAGGGGGGTCAAGATCATGAAGGGGAAACCGACAGAGAAAGCTGACTTGAGCTAACGGGAGCTCACTGACCGACAGCTAGGAAGCCTGCATGGGACCTACCTAGGGCTTCTGCATGTGGTGACAGTTGTGTAGCTTGGTCTGTTGTGGGGCCCCAGCAGTGGGACCAGGACCTGTCCCTAGTGCATGTGCTGGCGTTTTGGAACCTGTTCCCCAAGCAGGGATGCCTCCCCCAGCCTTGATGCAGAGGGAGGAGCTTGGTCCTGCCTCAGTGTGATATGCCATACTTTGTTGACTCCCATGGGAGGCCTGACCTTTTCTGAAGAGAGGGGGACTATATGGGGGGGATAGATGGGAGGTGAGGGGATGGAACAGGAAGAGAGGAGGGAGGGAAACTATGGTTGGTATATAAAAATAAATGAAAAAAATTAATTTAAAAAAATCACCAGCAGTCAAGAAGACTTATTAAAAAAAAAAAAAATAAGCAGGAATGAGACACAAACAGGTCTACCAGAGCTTCAGATACCCGAACTGGCAAGACTTTCACTTAACTGTGCCTACTCATGTCCAGAGCAACTGCACAAGGTTTAATAGAGGAAAACATCAGGCCCTCTTACACTCTGATGACAATCATAACTTGGTGCAATGGGCCAAACCTCATAACCATCTGTGTGTCTTTTTTTCACGATGGCAGTTCCAGTCGCAGCCAATCCCTGAAGGTGTCTTAACGAGGGATGAGGGGGTAGGGGGGGCACACTCGGTTTCAAATGGGAAGAGCCTGCATAAACAGACACTAAATGCCTCCACGTCGTTCAGAAACAGACCATCAGGAAAAGCTCACTTCACTACTGACGCCACAGAGGGATAAGGGACTGCAGATGCTAAGTTTTCATAACAATACATGGTAAGTAGGACATAAATTTTCCGTGTTCACTACAGTGAAGATTCAGCTACATGATATCCACAGGTGCCTGACGAGGCAACACCGTGTAAGTCTGGAATCCCTTTGGCATGAGAGAGAGATAGGTAACAACTGAGACGCAAAGAGTCTATTTTAAACATGACTGTGTGATCAACAATGTAGATGTATTCTTTACAAGTGGGCAGTAAAATAAAATAATATACTACATTTAGAGAACATGGCTTATATACTCAACCATCCAACTGTCTCTCACAAAGAAACACTGTACACTAAACAGTACATAGGCTCTAGTACCCTATGTACTGCAGATCATAGGACACTTGCATATATATTTGAAAAACTTGACACAATACAAAGAAGAAACCAAGATATGACAGAAGTAAGGAAAGCTAGACTGTCCACTAGAACTTCAGGCCACAGGCCCAGCCAGGCAGCAGCCTCCTAGGCTTTTCTTTTAGTCCTCACAATAAGCCAGCCAGCTGAACAGTCTCTTAATTTTTCTGAGAACAGTGGCATGAATCCAGCTCTCAACAGGAGAATCAGGAAAGCTCACAGAAACCCGAGACAGGATCTCTCTCTTCCTAGTCCCTTATTCATACGTAAGCTTTTATAACTGTAGTTTTCAAAATGAAGGTGAAATATGCTATAAAGTTTCCCAGAGCAAAAAGAGTCCTCAAACTTCATTTTAAAACTGTACATAAACTTAAAAGCTCAAGTGTAACATTCACTTCTAGAGTACTCCTGCCACCTGCATTTGATTCAGTCATAAAACAAGGAGGAAAAGTTGGTTTTTCAAACTAAGAGATATATGATATCTGGATTTAACAAGAGTGTAACACATCTGAACAACTGCAATATTTTATAACAGTAATTGTCAGATTAATGGGATACTCCCATTGGGCCTGAAACCATGCTAATTGACGGAAATGAAAAACTCTATTACCTGCAGTAATTTCCTTGCTTAGCGACCTTGGCCAGAGAGAAAATGCAGTCAACAGTTGCTAGGTGATTCACGGCCTTACACAAAGTGTGGTAATGTTCACCAAAATTCCTACAGAAAGAGAAACAAGATGAGCAGGCTGATTTCTTGACCCATGCCAGCTGTGCAACAAGCAATCCGTCTACTAGCAACATAAGCACGAATGAAATGAGCCAATCTATCTAACAGGTACGGGAGGGGGCAGTGTACTGATCTACCTCTCATGATAAAACAACTGGTCGCCGAGTCTTCAGCCACTTTGTTTGGCTAAACAAAGCCTAACACAGCTTTTGTATGATGATGTCAACACAGCATATTATATTACATATATAACTATATACGCTATCGTCACATTTCATCTGACTGTGACATTTCACTTCAGGAAAGAAATTTCAACAGAGAATTCAGTTTCCTCCCACAGCATCAAGGACTACTCAGGTGGGCCCGCTTCCCCAGGCACTCTTCCTTATAGCAACACCCAAGCCTGGAGTAACTGCTCAGTGTATCTCACATAGAACTGGCAGAACTGTCTGTCACACTGACCTAGCTTTTGTGGTCATTTGAATAGGTATGACCCCCATAAATTCATGTGTTTGAGTACTTGGCCACAGAGGGTGGCACTATTAGGAGATATAGTCTTGCTGACGTTGGTATGTCCTTGTTGGAAGAAATGTGTCACTGTGGAGGCAGGCTTTGAGGTCTCATATATGTTCAAGCTGCACCCAGTACACAGTTCTCTTACTGCAGTGAATCAAGATGTAGAACTCTCAGGTACCTCTCCAGCATCTGCCTGCAGGCTGCCTTGCTTCCCACCATGACCATAATGGACTAAACCTCTAAACTGTAAGCCAGCCCCAATTAAAGGTTTTCCTTTATAAGAGTTGCTATGGTTGGGGCTGGAAAGGTGGCTCAGTGGTTAAGAGCATGGGTTGCTCTTCCAGAAGACCTGGGTTCAATTCCCCACACTCACATGGTAGCTCACAATGGTCTGTAACTCCAGTTCCAAAGGATATGACACCCTCACACCAATGCACATAAAATTAAATAAATTATTTTAAAAAAAAAAAAGAGTTGCTGTGGTAATGGTGTCTCTTCACAGCGATAGAAACTCTAAGACAGCTTTATAACCCTAATATCTAGTCCACACTCCCAGCAGAGAATAGACATTGCAATAGACAGAAGTAAGTACTTCTCCAGCTATCTTATTAATACTGGGTGATGGAATATATCAAGACTTTTATTAAAAGATTTATTCACAAAGTGAATAGAAATGTTTATAGAGTTGGGTTTTTTCAGCCTCTTTGTACCTATATTTTTCTATTCTCTCATATCACAGAATTTTATTCCAATATGCACAATACTGTACAAACTATGGACATTTATATGTAATGATAAATTGTGGGTGTTGAAAATGAACATAACTGGCCAGACATGATGGCATATGTCAACAATGCAGCACTCAGGAAACTACTGAGGATCACAAGTCCAAGGTCACTCTCGGCCTCATAGGCATTCATGGTCCCATCTCAAAATAAATCAATAGGTAAAACAACAACAACAAAATACTACAAAAGAACCTGGGACTTAATTTTTAAATGCTCAGTATAAAATGTCTTCTAAGTAAAGAAAGACTATGTAACAAAGCTTAAATTTTAGAGTAGGTAGTCATCTGTGAGAAACTGGGGCTTTGCTCATTTCAGAAGTAGGCAGCCACAGGGCACAGACTCCTTGAAGTCAGAATATGAGGAAAGGCATTGACAGCTAAGCCTACTGAAGGTCCAAGAGAAATGCTGAAGGGAATCGCTCCTCACTGCCCAGACGCAGGAGGGACATCTCACATTGTCGCCTCACCACTCGCTCAACAGAGCTTCATTACCTAAACTTCACAAAGGAAGTCCAGAGGACCGAAGCAGCCACCTCAAGCTCACACAGCTGTGAGCAGCAGAGCCCAGATTCCAACCACATTCTTTGTTTGCTTTGCTTCTGGTTTAACAGTGCTGGGGTGGAACCCATGGCCTAACCCATGCCCAGCGAATGATCTCGCACAGACCTCCACCTCCAATTCTAAACTATGACCCCATTTACAATGCTGTTCTTCAAGGTTCTATTAGCACTGTTGCTAATTTCTGTACATAGTTAGAGGGGGGAAAAAGGAGTAAATTGCCTGCTTTTTTCATAAAGTCATGATGCAACTCAGATACCCCTTACACAAACGGGAGAGGAAGATGGAGAGGGAAGTGTCACACTGAACACCTTTCCTGAAAAATATTTATGTAATATAATGTGGATTCGGAAGTGCTGAATGTCAGTCTACTTGCTACTTAAAAATATTTGCAGTATTTCCCAACTTATAAAGGGCATCAGGTTAGATCACTATAATGATCAGTTCTTTCTACATCATTTTATCTTACTTTTAGAAAAAGAAAATCTGTTTTCTGATTTGTTTTATTATCAAAAGAACTCTATTGATGTTTTCTTTCTTTTATATTTATTTATTTATTTATTTTTAGTTTATCAAGACAGGGTTTCTTTCACTGTGTAGCCTTGGTTGTCCTGGAATTCACTCTATAGACCAGGCTGGCCTCAAACTCAGAGATCCACCTGCCTCTGCCTCCAAGTGCTGGGATTAAAGGTATGCACACCACCACTACCTGGCTTATTAATGATATTTTCATGCAACTTTATTTTTATTATTATTTGTAAACTAAGACTTGCACTCACAGTATGCTGATACATATTTATCTGAGTAGACAGAACATATATATTAGCCAATTTCCCCTGAGTTAAAGTTCATCAAAATAAGTGAAATGAATTCCACTAGTAGTGTAAGAGTTAGTGCAAATTTCAAACACACAGTGGTTATGCCCCTCCATCTGGACCCTGATAGGTCAGAGCACATGCTTGAGTACATGATGGCCCAGCACAATCCATGCACATATCCTCCCTCCTGCTGTGAGAAACTGACTTCTTAATGTGCATCTCGCTTTATTCACTTGTAAATTATGTGCAAGGATGCTTTTTAACGCCACAGGGCTGGCTCAGAAAGGAGTGAGTGACTTCATCTAAAGTCTCACAGTCGTGGAAGTTGATGCACATCTCTTCCCAACTTCAGAGCAGAGTTGGTGGAAATGAGCTGGGCTGGGAGTGTTCACAGTGCAGGAAACAGCAAACTACAAACACTACTGTTTCCCCAAGAGCAGACGCACAGTCTGCTGCCCACCAGTGCCTAACACCGCCAATATGAACGCACGACTGTCAATCAATCCAGAATGTGAGCCACTGTTCAAGACAAGGGCCAGGGCTCTTCCAAAGGAAATCTGGTATCTTGAAAATGAAAAGCACGGCAGATTATTCTAGATTAAAAGTAAGTAAAGAAGCGTGACCAAATGCAATGTGTAAGAGTTAATTAGATCTTTTCTTTAAAAATTGGGACAGGGAACACTGAGGAAACTCAAATATATTTATTTTTCAGAAATATTTATTTATTTTTACCTTATAAGTATGACTATTTGTATGTGCACTACATGCATGCATCAAATATATTCTTAAATAGTTAAATTTTCCTAGATGTATTAATGGTGTGAAAATTCCTTGTTAGGATGTTGTTATTTTCATGCATGCATAAGTACTTGGGATGAAATACTATGAAAAACTTCCACATAACTCTGGAACAGAAATATGTATGTATATGCATTTTCATATAGATGTATATACACACATACTAGAGACAGAAGCCAAATGAAGCAAAAACTTAGTATTTGCTAAATCTAGATGAGGGTACATAAATGGTCATTCCAGTTTTTAAAAAAAATGTAAACCTAGAGGAAAATACACAAAATATTAAAAACTTAGGAATAAATGAATGAAGATAATAAAGTTAAAACAGGACCTACGCAGTGCAGAAAGGTGAGAAGGGTAAATTCCAAGGAGGAATTAAAAAAAAAAAATGGCTCTACCAAGCATCATTAGCCATACAACACAAGCCTGCAGCAGTGAAGTATATCGGGTCTCTCTCCTCAGACTGTTCGAGCTCACGTCCCAAGGACTGAAAATCTCCACTCTTCTAGCAGGTCACAGCAGCATCTCTACCGTCTTTGGATGCACAGATTCAGAGCGTACTGTTCACTGCGAACTTACTCTAGAAAATCAAGCCACTCAGCGCCGCAGTCAAGGACTAGCTGCTCCCGGAGCTGGTTCAGACGTCTGTAGTTTTCTACAATAAAAGGAGGGTGGAAACGGCTCACAGCTTTTGTGCTACAAGAGGAAAGGAAAAAACAACACAGGAAATCAAGGTTATAAGAATCAGTGCTGCCGTCATTTCAGAAAATTAAAAGCGGTTATTATTCACCGATGAGCCTTGAACATAAACAGCTGTAAACAGAAAGCATTCTTTAATTATGGTCCTGAACTTGACTCTCAACAATGGACTCTGTCTGTTCAGGGAGCTTTGAAAATGTCCTTAAAATTTCAACTGTATGACAAAGTCAGAGTTGAAACTTACTTCACTGGCAAAGGCTTTTTTTTTTTTCTTTCCTTCATGCTAAATGAAAATGTTTGCTTAAAAGCATTGGAAAAAAATGCAGTTAAAAGAAAGAGAAAGTAGGTTGGATGCATTGGTGGTGGTTGTATTACTTCTGAGATTTTATACTTTTCTGTTCAGCATAATTCAGTACAAAAAGAAATGTACAATGCATCACAAAGAACGTCAGAGCATGAATGTAAAAATGTAAAAAAGACAGTTCTTCAGGCCCAGTGTCCCTGGATGGGAAGAAGCCTCACAAGCTCTCCTAGGCTTGAACATAAGCCGTTCTCTTCATCACGAAGGGGTAGACAGCATTTGGGAGCTAGCTCCTCAGTCAGAGATACTAGGCCAGGCCTTGACCAGGCCACGCCTCAGCGCTGATGTCTTGTCCAAATGGAACAGACCTTGTGTGGGCTCCACTACAGCCAAGACTGTAGAGTGCCTCCTCGAAGGCACGACGGAGTTCACACAATGTTTAGCAGAGTACCCTCTACGGGGATCCAAGAGTGGATGCTACTCCTGTTGAAAGCTGACAACGGGAATATGGATGGTTTAGAAGAGCTCTTCAAGGCCATGGGTACCCAGTCTTCGCTTTCCTATATCACACTGCCATAGTTACCTTTAACTTAACTGTTGGATACTGAAGGTCTAACTGATGATACTCTAATTCATCCTTATACCAAGGCTCTGGCAGCCAGACAACAGACCAGATGGTAACAGGCCCTCACCAACTCTATTACTGCATGTTTAGAAGACGCTGGCATCCATATTTTGCCTTGCTAGTTGCTCCTCAATTGCACGTCCTAGAGTTCTAGGCAAATATTTTACCACAGCTTTTTCTTCTACAGTTGTTTATCCAGAACCTCAGCTTCTGTTCTACAGAATAATATGGGCATTACTAATGTCTTTTTATAAAGTGCACTTTCATTCATTAACTGTACTATAGGGCAAAATTCAACACAGGGAAGGATGCTCCAAGGATGAGAAACATCCTGCAAGTCAACACTATTCACATCTACAGATTCAGTGGCATAAGGGAAAAAACAAGGTATATGAATTCAAGAAACCCATGCTTGTGCTTAAAGTAGCTGTTGCCATGGCAATGGATAATGGTTACATTATTTAATTAACATAAGAAACTATTAGCCATTACATCACCATGTCAAAATTTCCCTCATTCTTAACATAAGAATTCTTCCACTCCACCACCAGCCAGGAGTCTCCCCAATATTATCTTGGGCAAATGTTAATATTTCCATCCCCAGTCACACAGAGGCAGGAAGAGCGGTAAGGAAGAAGCAGTACACTATAGTCAAAAGCGCACACTTCTCCTGAACCAGTCCCTCCAAGGGACTGAAGAGGACAAAATGTGGCTCTCTAATACTGTTTTCACTTATATCCAACAGCTCATGATATAAGTTACAAAAAGAAGTAACTATTATAACTGCGTGCCAAGGAAAACACTGAGAATAAAGACACATGGAGCTCGGTGGGGGAGAAAATGAGATTTCAGCTTCTTAAAAGAAATGTCAGGTACAGCATTCATCAAAAAGCCGAAACCACCACATTCATCTTCCAGTTGAGCATTTCTCAACCTGAAACTCACAGTCATGGGGCGAAAGAGTAATTGACAGAGGGGAGATGTATTAAAATATGGTCTTCAATATTTTTAAATGAATGACAAAAATAGCTGAAGACAAACATCTCTTTGGTTCAAAGTTCATAAGAAAATCGATGGAGGAAAAGTACTCTTGCTTCAAGAACGTGGTGGCACTGGTCTAGCATCTCAGATACGCATCATAATTCATGCTAGAAGTAAAAAAAAAAATGCCTTAAACTTACCTTCCAACCTTCACCCAGTCAGCTGGGATGCAAGATACAGCTGAGTTCTTCATTTCAATCATAAACTAAAATAAATGCAAATGAACAGTGAGATATTTAAATGGGCAGCCACCCACAGCATATCATGAGGCTTCTTGGAAATTGTGTGTGACAATTTAATAAACATTATTCTAAAACATTCAAAATAAATCCAGTATTATTCTTGGGAGAGCTTGGGTGTTTTCTAATAACTTCTTTCATTCATTACTATCCATGTATCTTAAGAACTCTGTTATTCCGTACGATTAAGTTTGATAAAAGTGTGGGGTGTTTGTGCTGGGGTGGGGGAGTGGGGGTGCACGGGATGGGGGGCGGTGTGCACGCATGTGCCTATGCGTACAACCATGGAGGCCAGAAGAGGATGCTGGTTCAGTGTTCTGCCCTATCACACTCTCTGTTCTGCTTCCCTGAGGCAGGGTCTCTCACTGAACCTGACACTCTTCTGCTTCAGCTAGACTGACTAGCCAGCAAGCCTCGGGGATCCTGTTGTCTCCTCCCCCACCACATGTTTGGAACTACCCATTGGAGCAGAACAGGCTTGATGTCTGGTCCCTCCCACAAGAAGCCATCAACTGCCAATCATTCAGTAAGGAGGGTTGGGGCCTTATGAGCCACACCTCCATCCATGGCTGGCTGCTGACCATCCAGGACACCACACACACACACACACACACACACACACACACACACACACACAGAGTCTGTAGTTTGTTCAGATACACTTTCAAAAATCTATACTGTATACAGTAAGATCCAGAAATTCTTGGATTAATTCTGTGATAGTTTCATGAAGTTTTTCATTTGTCTGTTTTATGATATGCATATAACTTTATATTTGTCATGTCTTTGTCTTATTTTTACATGAAAAGAAATATTTAGTTTTTATATTAATGGTTAATATTTATTAATTTCCATACCAAGCAAATTTTGAAACTAATGTATGATATCTTCATATATAGAAATTGATTAATACAGTTTCAAATCTCCCATACTCAGTTTTATAGTTGAGAATTAACAGTCTAAAAATGTCCCTGTAGTTACAAAAATTGGAAACAAGCCAAACTTTAGATGTATTATTGATGGAAAAAATAAAATTACTAAGTATAGTAAATAATTCTTCAGTTCAAAAATGCTCTATGAAGGCACATTGGCATTTTATGAAGTAATTCTGAGAGAGCTACGTCAAAAGCAAATATCAAATTTCAAGGCTACAGGAAGAAAAGATCCTAACCCGTGGGAGTTGGTGGTGAAGGGCTGGTGAACATTTTGAAAAACCAATAAAAACAAGGTGTACCACAAGAATCACAGTGTAGCCATCAAAGGTCCACTCTAGGGACTGGCAGGGCTCCATCATGCCAGCCATGGGGATGGAAGGTGCAGCAAGAGTCTGGAAAGCCCACCTGGACCTCCTGTGGGTTAAACACCTGTGGTCACGTGTCTGTCTAAGTTCTTCATACTGTGCTCGGGCCGCACTAGCCTTTGGAGAGGAAATTCTCTCTGGTTATTTTCCAAACATCCTAAGAAGGAGCAGGCAGGCCCTTTGTTTATGCGTTTTACTGCTAAAGAAAAGCCACTGGAAAAAATAACGCTTGTTCTAGAAAGCTCTGCAAGATCTCATAGCAATCCCCTGCTCTGCAGTTTCTGACTTCACCTCCCAGAAGTTAACACAAGAATTCTGCCTTCAGTCCTTTTAGTACTTTCTCATATTACTCTCCCAGGACCTACTTCTGTCTGGGTTAATGTCAGACATTGTCATTCAAACTATATAACACCAGCCTAGGCTGGCATCATTACCAGGCTTGCTGAAGACCTTCTTTCCTTGCCTTTGCTTGTTTTATTTTGTTTTTAGATAGATGTATCTTATTTAGGGTTTCTATTGCTGGGATGAAACACCATGACCCAAAAGCAGGTTGGGACAGAAAGGGTTTCTTTGGCTTACACTTCATTGCTGTTCATGGCTGAAGGAAATCAGGACAGGAACTCAATCAAACAGGGCAGGAACCTGGAAGCAGGAGCTGATGCAGAGGCCATGGAGGGGTGCTGCTTACTGGCTTGATCCCCATGACTTGCTCAGTCTGCTTTCTTATAGAACCCAGGGCCACCATTCTAGAGATGGCTCCACCCACATGGGCTGGGCCCTCCCCCTTTGATCACGAATTGAGAAAATGCCTTCCAGCTGGATCTCATGGAGAAATGTCCTCCACTGACGCTGCTTCCTCTCTGATGACACTAGCCTGCGTCAAGTTGACACACAAGACTGGACAGCACAAGATGTAATCCAGACTGATCGCAAACTCTTTGAACACTGAACTTTGCTCCCCTGGCCTCTGCCTCCCAATTGCTAGATTTCCATCGCACCATCACTGCAGGCAGGCTGCAGACTTCTCAGCTCACTCTAGCACCTGCCTCCTAGTTACCTCAGCATCACGGGTAACCCACTCCTCCTCTCCCTCACTTTTTCTTCCCCTTCCCTTAGGAACTTGAAATGTTTCTTATTTACAAACTTAACAGAGAGACAACATATTGTAAGCGAGGGCACAGAGAAACCACCAATCTGGCAGGCCCATGGGTGGGAAGAAGGTTTTTATTGTAAAAATGGGAGGAGGACCAAAGCAGCCATGACTACCTTTCTGGGGCAGAGAGGAGAGGGCAGACTGGCAAGGGTGGGTGTCGGCTATTCACCCCGACTCTACCGGCCATGCTGTGGGTAGACACTCCCTTCTAAACTCCTTGTAAACTTTGTATAAGTATATACAAAGTATATACTTATGTAAACTTTGTATAACTTAGTATATACAAAGTATATATTTGTGTAAACTTTGTTAAACCCTCAAGGCGTGCAAGTGACCAGACCCTACCTGAGGAGATCCAGCAGCCAGGCTCCATCCTCAGACGTCCCTAGTGGCTGCTTTGGTTTTTTTGTTTTGTTTTGTTTTGGTTTTTGGTTTTTTGGTTTTTTTTGCTGAAAACAGCTCTGAAGCAGGAGAGTGGCCAGGTCCCCAACCTTACAAGAAAACAAAATCCCACCAATCCCTGAGCTTGCCCCAAAATCAGGCCAAATAATCCTTCCAATCCCAGGACACCCTTGAAAACCCCCCTGCTCCTCTGCCAAGAAACTACATTAAACCCCTAACACCCCCCCCCATTCTGCCCAGTTCTCTACTTCTCTCCTGAGCACAGGCAGTAACCCTCCTGGGTTCCCCCTCCCAATAAATCCCGTGTGAGGTTTGTTGTGCGGCATGACTTTGTGATAGTCCTTGGCTCCCAACTGTCAAGACACTTTCCATCCAAGCTGTAACATATATAACGGAAGCGGGGGAGGGGGGGCAGAGAGAAGAGCAGGAGCAGAGAAAAACCCCTGGGTTATAAAGAAAAACTAGTAGAAACTAGCAGCTGCAGGATTGGAGGAGGGGATCCTATGAACTGGATCAGCCTGGAAGTTTAGGGTGGGGGGTGGAGGGTGGGGTCTGGTGGTATACACCATAGGTACGTGTCAGTAAGCCAAGTGGCTCTTCCTGGCAGACAGAAACGTATTTCACAGGTTCCTGTGGAATGATAAGAGAGAACTTTTATCTCTCTGCCAAAAAGCCCTCTAGTCCAGTTGTGCAGAGCCAAAACTGTCATCATGGATCAAGTCAGTAGGCCTGCCTTTTTTGGGGTGCTTGAGGTTTTTCCCTTTGGACCTGTGGTGGTTTGAAAGGAAATGGCCCTCAAAGTGGGTGGCACTTTTAGGAGGTGTGCCCTTGCTGGAGGAAGTGTCCCATGGCAGAAACAAGAGATATAATTAAATATTCAATGTCTGTTTAAATACTCAAAAATATTTGTGCAGAGTTCTGAGTGAAACAAGCTTTGTGAAACTCTGCTGAGCATGGCATCCTCAGAACTCTAGCCAGAGATGGATGGGCTAACTTAAGTTAGGAGTTAAATCTATAAAATGTACGTGGTCTGGAGCATTCTGATAAGCACACTATGGTTCATCCTAATTGCCTACTTCAAATAGCTATATAATTGGCAATCTTTCACTAAAATACACAAGCAATGCAAATATAAGACACATGATTTGAAAATGTTGTCGCCAGGCTGTTCCGGTGGGCTCCCTGTAACAGAGCTTTCTCCCACAAGAAAAAAAAAAATCTAATTTTAAATCTTAAATAGAATGTACATCCTATAGAAATTATTCCTAAGTTTATTAAATTGATATTTTAACAAGTATAATTTCTGGAATTCCTAGACTTAGAATCTTCACAGTAATATAAAGATGTGGTAGGAACGAGCGTCAAGATGCAGAACAGGACTGAATGCTACAGCTACATTTATAAAGGATTTCTTTCTTAATGGTTCTCATTTCAATATTAATACCAACTTTAAAGACAAGTATACATCCTTGGGCTGGAGAGATGGCTCTGCGGTTAAGAGCACTGGCTGGTCTTCCAGAGGACCTGGGTTCAATTCCCAGTACCCACGTGGCAGCTCACAACTGTCTTTAACTCCAGTTCCAGGAGATTCAATACCCTCATACAGGCAAACCAATGTACATGAAATAAAAATAAATAAATTATTTAAAAAAGATAAGTATATATCTGTTGCTGGAGAGCTTCTCTCCAGGTTCCCCAAGCCCCGCAGTCCCACATATAAAATAATCACTCAGACGCTTATATCACTTATAAACTGTATGGCCGTGTCAGGCTTCTTGCTAACTGTTCTTTTATCTTAAATTAACCCATTTCTATAAATCTATACCTTGGCACGTGGCTGGTGGCTTACCAGCGTCTTCACATGCTGCTTGTCCTGGCGGTGGCTGCAGTGTCTCTCCCCCCAGCCTTCCACTTCCCAGAATTCTCCTCTCTCCTTGTCCCACCTACTTCCTGCCTGGCAACCTACTTCCTGCCTGGTCACTGGCCATCAGTGTTTTATTTATATAGAACAATATCCACAGCATATATCTCAGACCACATTTCAAACAGCAACATAATCTATGTGTATTTCCACTCTTTTTAAATAAGACTTGAGGAGGAAGTACTGTCAGTTAGTCACTCTGTGATTCAACCAGTATGTGTGGTCTACCTGGCACCATTTCCTCTGTAAGGCAGGAGTTCAAGGCTGGCGTCTCAGGCCTGGACCCTAGACCCTGTTAATAATAACTAAGATCTTCTGTACTGTATCTTCAACAGGTAACAGGGCACATGTAACATCAAGTTGCTTGAATTTATTGAAAGATTAATAAAACGTTATCCCAATTTCTTGTCGAAACAGGTTATTATGGCATATTTCCAAGGGAAAAGACAAAAGGTTTTTAATGATGATATCTACAACTGTCAAGTCCAAAGCCCCTCCCTCATGCTGGTGACACTGTCCTAAACAGAAGGACTGTTGCCAGGGAAACAAGCCTAAAGGTTTCCGTTTACTGAAAAGCAGATCTCTTAAGGGGTTTCTGTTCAGCAAGGACCACCCTCAATCTTCCAGGAACGTCCCTCAACCTCCCCCCCCGGCCCACATCACCCACTTCCAACAGGGGACCTCACATAGTTCCCATCAACCTTGACAGCCGGTGTCAGCTCAGACCCCCACCCCACTGATGTCATATAAAATCTGCTTGCTTTGGGCCATTTTGCTCTTCCAACCTTGGCAATTTGAATACCAATAAATCTTTCTTTGTGCCCATAGAGGGGTCTAGTTTGGTGGTTTTTCTGCACCACTGCTTATAACAGCCTATCCAGAGATTTTACTTATATTATGAAATAGCTTTTCTACTCCAGGCAAACTGATATAAAATGAAAATATGTTTGACATTACCTCTTGTCCTGATACAGTCACATATTGTAAAGAAGGAAGTTTTAGTATTTTTCGTAATTCTTGCAAATGCATTTGGATACTCTGAGTAACTTCTTGAATTTCATCTTTCCTCTTTTTTATTAAAGGGAAGCCAGACAGGTCTTTGAATAATTCAGTTTTATCGCCAACTCTAAAATATGAAAAGTGTAGATCCGGATATTGAAGTGTATTAATTAGACCAGTTATCAATTTTGTAGCATGATGAAATACCAACAGACTGGAACTCAGGAAAATGAGGTTCTAAGTCCAGCTCTGCCACTGAATATTTATAGAGACATTCTTTAACTTCTGACAAAATCATTTTTACTTTATTCACAATTTGTATGGTAAAACCAAGAAATAAACTATCATGTCATTTGCCTACTCAGAAAATAACAACAAAGGTACACTCAGCTTCCTGTAAGATACACCACAAAACCACACCCTTAAGAGGACAACTGCAGATTCTACACACAAACACAATCACCCCTGGCATCTAGGAAATGGGGACAAGGGCCATCTGGCACCTGCTTTGGAGTTAATAAACTGCTAGCTACTACCTGGCTTTAGTTTTACCCTCTGTCACCTGATACCTGGGGAAGTACTTCATCTGTCCTAGACTGCAAACTGCCTGAGTGTAGACAACTATAAATGTTCCCAATTACATACGTACTCAAGCAACTTCCCACACCAAATGGCAAACACACTAGCTGACGGTCACTATGGGAGGAAGTGGGAGTCGGCACTTACTTGGCAGCTTGTTCATTCAGTATCTTTAAGTAATATTCCACTGGACTGAGGAGCTCAGGAATTTCTAAGATGAGTGTTCGGAGTAAGTCTGACTGTACGTGGGAATTAACAGCAGGCATTAATGCTTGAAGCTCTGACTTCAGGTGACTCAGGCTTTTGACAATCAAGAAGAACTCTTGCGTAGAGCACTGGAAAAAGAAATATTTTTTAATCTAAAAAGCTGGATGTGGTGGCTCCCCTGTGATCCCAACATTCAGGAGGCTGGGGTGGGAGGGTCTCTGCAAGTTCAAGGTCAGAGTCCAGGCATGAATTAAAAAGAAAGATAGCGCTGTAAACCAGGGTGCAATAAAGAACCTGTGAAATGGCCCCTCTGTGGTTTGGGGAAAGGTTTTTATCATAGATAAGAGATAGAAAACATCCAGAAGCATCTAAAGGAGTCCAGATCAGAGAGGAAAATAAAATCCAGACTCCTTTTTCTTTACGCTTTTTTTTTTTTTTGCTTTTTTTTTTGGGGGGGGTGTTTTGTTTTGGTTTTTTTTTTTTAAGATTTATTTATTATATATACAGTGTTCTGCCTGCATGCATCCTTGCAGGCCAGAAGAAGGCACCAGATTTCATTACAGATGGTTGTGAGCCACCATGTGGTTGCTGGGAATTGAACTCTGAACCTTTGGAAGAACAAACAGCCAGTGCTCTTAACCTCTGAGCCATCTCTCCAGCCCCTTTACCCTATTTTAATTTGGCCCTTTTAATTGGTTTACTGAGGACAGGTGGCTAGATCTGACATTGGGACACTGACTGTTATGAGGCTTAAGGAGAGAATCAGACCAAGAGAGGCACTCTGGGAGAGCAGAGAACAGCTTTGTCAAAAAGGCAGTTTGGGTTTTATAGGACAGTTTTAGTTGGGCAAGAAAGCATTAAGGAAAAAGAAACTGTTGTGGGCAAGAGGTCCAGAACATCCATACAGTTTCCATTTCCCCAGAGGGCGTGGGTTCCACAAAGTTCGTTCCTTGGTATCCCAAATGACTCCATCTTTGGGCCATGTTAACAGTTGTGAACCCCCAAGTTTGATAACCATCAAAAAAATAAACTAAAACTACAAGGCATCATTTGTCATTTGTTCAAATGTCCAAGATGTAAAACAGACATCTTTCTCTACTATTAGTAGAAGCAATCTTTTTGAAGATCATATAGGTATAGCCTCACAGCTATTAATAAGGTTCTTAGAGCATGAATAAACACCCTTGGAAAGCCAGGCCTCTAGACTGAACTTCTTAATAGGAAAGAAATTATTATTCTCTTTCTCCTGAGACATACAAAGGACAGGTCATTTGTGAAGTATTTACCACAGTCATTATCAGCCTATTTTGCACAAAACTAGGGATCAATTTAATAACTAAACAAAAAGCAACCAAGTTAAAAAGTCTACCTGTATTAGATCTTGGAAGCATGTAGGTACAAAAAGAAATAAACTAAAGGAAAAAAGTTAATAAAAACTGAGTATCTTTTGGTTAAGGCAATTATGGTTCAAAGAACAGGCCACAGGCACAAGACACAGCACCTAAGGGTCAGAGCCTAAGGTCCATGTGTAACGTGAGGCTTGGGCTCAGTTCGGCCTGGCTAGGAAACTATTTACATACAAGACTGTGCAAGCTCTCTTTTCTCAACATTCGTGAAACATCCTTATTCTTAAATGTATTTACCAACTTTAGCATCTAACATGGGTTCCTGTGACACGATTTTCTAAGATTTGACTTGGACGTTTTAATATAAAAAGAAATATTTATTTTATTGCACATTAATTATCATTGCCACCATAAAGCACCTCAATAAAAATTCTACAACCACAGGGCCTAGGCTGCCCCACAGAACTAGGACGCAGGATGTCACTCATCACTGGTGCGGACAGCAGAAGCTTACAGTAATGTAGGAAGAAGAAAAAATTAAACTAAAGGGCCAGGAAGAAAAACCTGAGCAACCACTGCTTACAAAAAAACAAAAACAAAACTAAACTAAGGAATGTCATGCATTGACGGTGGGGACAAGAGCCAGCTAAGAAAAACGTGGTGGAAGCGTTCAGACTTGAGCCAATCTTGAGCCGCAATCCAGTGAAACACCCAGAGCAGCACCAAGGAACAGCTTCCGAGTGAGTCACAAGTTCTTCCAGTAAAATACAATCAGAGATTCCAAGGCGGAAGGCATCCTCGTGCTGCACATTGATTACTTTCACATGAATGTGATTATAACTTTTTCTCCAGTTCGGAAACTTGCAGAGCTACGCAGAGCTTATGAGAGGTAAACAGCTAAGAGAGAGAAGTTGAAAGACTGGCAGTGAGACGGCCTAGAAATCACCACAGCTCGGCAGGATGTGGCCACCTCCAGCTATGGACGCTTTGACCTTGCTTTTCTGATTAACAGCTCAAACAAAAATCTGTTCTGCTCTTATTTTCTCTTGAGAGAAAAAGAGAAAAAAAAAAATCTCTGACATTTGTCAAGGAATCCTTTCAAACAGTGAAGGCAAAGTGCCTGCCTGGAGATCAGCTGACTGGAGAGGGTAATAGCATTGACCGCCAGGCATTGGGCCAAGGATACAAACTAACACATGGTTTTGTACCTCTCTGCACCACCAAAGACCCAGCACAGAATTTTCCAGTATCAACATGGCGTCTATCACTGCCAGCCAGCAGAATGGCAGCCGCACAGTACACAGTGTTAAAATTGACTCCACTGAGCACAATCAACTCAGGATCTTCTTCCCCAGGATCTGCATTACCAAATCCAGCTTGTATTTTGTTTCTAATTTAACTGCAGCACAGGGAACAATTACGTAAGTCCTCTTGGGTACCACAAATATCCTCAAAGGCAGTACTTATCATTCTGGCACAATTTCCCAAGGAAGACAAGTCTTAAAAAGTAAACATTAATGAAAATTGGTCAGACTAAACTTTGGACATATAAAATTCGTTCTACCATGGATTAAACAGGTAATTTGTATTTGGCAGAAAGGTAACATATAAATGAAGTTTGCTTGTGAAGAGTCAACCAGAAAAAAAAAACTGCAATGGCAATTGAGAAAACCACATCAAACATGGGAGCACTAAAGGACACAGCAACTAAAACTCAGTCAGGATGCTGGACTGAAGCACAAATTCTGTCACGTTAGTAAGCTACTAGCCCTCTGTGGTGGTTTCAATAGAAATGGCCCCCACAGGCTCATAGGCAATGGCACTATTAGGAAGTGTGGCCTTGTTGGAGGAAGTGTGTCACAGGAGGCAGGCTTTGAAGTTTCAGATGCTCAATCCAGGCCCAGTGTCTCCCTCTCTCTTCCTGCTGCCTTTGGGTCCAGATATAGAACTCACAGCTACTTTTCCAGCACCATGTCTGCCTGTGTGCCTCCATGCTTTCCACCATGATAACAATGGACTAAACCTCTGGACTGTAAGCCAACCCTAATTAAATGTTTTCCTTATAAGAGTTGCTGTGGCCATGGTCTCTTTACAGCAATAGAAACCCTAACTAAGATACCCTCTTTCAGCAACATTGCATTAGACAACATTATGCAATTGTAGCATGACTACACAGCACATTATGCATCATTTCCTAGCAGTAAGAACATGCTACCGCAGCCCTCTCCTCTCAAGGCTCAGGGTCATTACAGAACAGGAGGCAAAAAGTCTGTCAGAGCCAGACGTGGGAGGTGACCACACTGAAACTGTGTTTTCCAGACATGACAGGACAGTTGTACAGAGAAACTCACTAAAGAACTACGAGCCCAAAGCCCAAGGTGGGCTAAGCAGCCCTGGACAAGAATGTTGATTCACTACTGACATCTGCAGGCTGCTGGCATCCAGGAAGCTACTGTTAGAGAAGAAAACCTTGTAGCCTCCTAAACTAAGGGAGCGCCAATACTGCCTGGAGGCCTCTAGGATCAGGAAAGTCCTGACAAGGGAGCACAAGATGGAGTGGTCTCCAAAATGGATGTTCCCCTTAGGGGACAGTGGCAGGGATTCCTTAGTTTCCACTAAGAGGATATTGCAATTCTTAAATTAACATCTATGCACCAAACACAGGGACGCCCAAGGTCGTAAAAGAAACACTACTACAGGTTAAATCATATATTGACCTTCACACGGTTGATAATGGATAACTTCAATTCTCCATTTTCACCAAAGGACAAGTTGCCAGACAAAAACTAAACAGAGCCATGCTGGAGTTAACTGATGCCATAATCCAAATAGACCTAATAGATATTTACAGAACATTTCACCCAAACACAAAAGAATATACATACCTTCTGGGACACAGAGCAAGTCTCAAAAGATAAAAGAAAATTGAAATAACACCCTGCATCCTACCTGGTCACCATGGATTAAAGCTGGATTTCAACAAAAACAGAAACAACAGAAAGCTTACAAACTTATGGAAATGAAACAACTCACTATTTAATGGAAAATGGGTAAAGAGAGAAATTAAGTAAGAAATTAAAAACTTTCTAGAACTGAATGAAAACACAACATACCCAAACTTATGGGACACAATGAAGGTGCTTAAGAGGCAAGTTCACAGCACTAAATATTTCCATTTAAAAAAAGTGGAGAGATCTCATATTAGTAACTTAATATCATACCTGAAAGCTCTAGAACAAAAAGAAGAAATAACACCCCCAAAGGATTAGCCAGCAAGAAACAATCAAAGTCTTGGCTGAAATAAATAAAATAGAAACAAACAAATAACAACAACAAAACAATAAAAAGAATCAATGAAACAAAGGGTTGGTTCTCTAATAAAATAATAAGATTGACAAACCCTTAGCCAAATTTAACTAAAAGGTGGATAGAGAAGACACAAATTAAAAAATTAGAGATGAAAAGGGGACATAACAACAGACACTAATGAAATCCAGGACATACTTTAAAAACCAGTACCCCACCAAACTGGAAAATCTAAAACAAATGAGTAATTTTCTTGATATATACCAACTACTAAAGTTAAAGCAATAATAGAGAAGCATTTTAAATAAACCCCTAGTGAAACAGAAGTAGTCATTAAAAGTCTCTCAATCAAAAAAAAAGCCCATGATCAGATGGTTTTAGAGCAAAATTCTACCAGACTTTCAAAGAAAAGTTAACGACAATACTCTTCAAATTATTCTACAGACTAGAAACAGAAGGAACATTGCCAAGTTCAGTTTATGAGGCCACAGTCACCCTAATACCCAAACCATATAAAGATTCAACAAACAAAGAACATTACAGAGAAATTTCCCTCATGAACATAGGGATATGTTCATACTCAAAATATTCAAAACAATACTCACAAACCAAATCCAAGAATTCATCAAAAAGATCATCCACCACAATCAAGTAGGCTTTATTCCAGAGATGCAGGGATGGCTCAATACATGAAAATAAGTAAATGTAACCCACCATATACATAAAGCTAAAGAAAAATATCATGTGATCTTCCTAGTAGATGTCAAAAAAGCCTTTGATAAAATTCAACACCCCTTCATGATCACAGTCCTGGAGACATTAGGGATGCAAAAGTCGTACCTCAACACGATAAAGGATATTTACACCAAGGCCACAGCAAACATCAGCCTAAATGGATAGAAACACAAAGCATTTCCACTAAAATCAGGTACAAACAAGGTTGTCCACTCTCCATATCTAATCAATACAGAACTTGAACTTTAGCTGGAGCCATAAGACAACTGAAGGAGATCAAGGAGATACATACTGGAAAGGAAAAAGATCCATATTAGATGAGTGAGAGGATCCAACAGGGAGTTAAGGGGAAAAGGGGAGGTAAGGGACAGTATATGAGAAGGGACAGCTAAAACTAAGGCCATTTGAGGAGTTGTATGAAAGCCTAATAAAGTAGAAGCTTCTTAAAATATATACATGTATGAAGGTGCTCTAAATTAAATCATCAAATATTGGGGGAAGCAGAGTCCCATTTGGCTGTCTCTTATCACCAAATGAAGTTTCCAGCACTGGAAATGCATTATATTCTCAGCCAAAGTGATCCCATGGACATACCCAAACAACCCAGGAAGTTGCCAAAGCTACTGTAGGTTGCTTTCCATACACTGATGATAAGGCCCTATTGCTGAAGACAACACCTACAAACTCATTGAACACGGAGAAGTCAAGGTGGTGCCTGCCCAGAGCCTTCACCCACAGGGTACTGGAACATACTCTGGATACTACCAAAACAGAAGGGTAAACACCAAGACAGCTACAAACCCTTTGGTTTATAATAGTTACCTCCCTGCTAGATACACTGGTACAACTCTGGCATAAAGCTTTTGAGAGTTACCAACCAATACCTGATTTGAATTACGACTCACTCCACAAGATGGAAGCCATACCCAACTCTGCTTGGGTGACCAAGAATCTGAGACTAGATAGGCCAGCTACCTAGAGGAAAACCAAATGCTACTGTTCTATTAAAGAAAAGTAGCAATAAAATGACTCTTAACACCATTCTGCTGTACTCATAGATTCATGCCTTGCTCAGCCGTCACCAGAGAAGCTTCCTCCTGCAGCAGATGGGAACAAACTCAGAGACCCGCAGCCAGGCATTATGCAGAGTGAGAGAGCTCAGAATACTCAGTCTGAAAAGGGTGTCTCCATCAGATCCCTCCTCTCACGGCTCAGAGAACTCGTGAAGGGGAGGTAGAAACGTGTGTCACTAATACTCTCACACATCCTACACCAACATCTTTTCCCTTTGTTTAGGTCAAAGAAGGTTTTAATAAATTAAAAATTAAGGCTTCTCTTTTTCAAAGTCACAGGTCAACGTAAGTTTCTCATTTTGACCATGATCTGCACTTGGAAGATAAAACACAGCATCTTGCATTTTAATAGGACTTCTGCATATGTTGCTGGAGTCTCGGAAAGTGAGAATACTTTTTATGAATGCCAACACTGGAACACCTTAACTTGTACAATGAGAGTTTCTGAGGCTACAGATGTTTCTCATGCTACTCACAAGCACTGACGAGAACCCCACACGATCGTCCTTCAGGACCTAGCATTCTTCTATTGAGGAACACCATGAATCTCGGGGGGTGGGGGGGAGGGGGTGAGTTTTACCACTTACTTTCTTGTGATAGATGCTACCGAGTCCTCTCTCGACGTCGGGTAATTTCCGCAGATGGTTTTCTATCTGCTCAAACACACTGGACTCTGAGTGGAGGACATCAGCTATGGCATCAAGTCGGCCATTTATGTCCCTGGGAGAACAGAAGAACAGCAACGAACACATGTCAGCAATTCAGAGTATAGGCGCTGCCCGCGTTAATGCCTAGGACTATGCCACGGTCACTAGTCTGAGGAGGAGGCTTTCATTCTAGTCTCCTCTGCCTCCTTCTATCATTTGGCTCAGCACATAGGTACCATACAAGGAAAGTCACTAGCTAAGTGTGATGGAGATGGTTCATGAGGCAAATGTACAGATATACTTCCCAATCTCCTCTAGGATTAGGCATGACCATAGATTCAAGTTCTACTCCTTGAAATGAGGATAGGAATGATGTATGTCACCTCTATGCCCTGGCTGATAAAAAATAAAATAACCTGTGTAAGCTTTCACAATACTCTCTCTGCTATAAGCCATATGGTGACTCTGTCTGCCTGGGTTCATGACTAGAGCAGAACAGCCTCTGCTCCCACATCCACTACCAAGTAAATGTCTCGTGTAGTTAAACCACTGAGATTTGGGATACGTTTGCTATAATAGGCCTGTCTTGAGCAATAAGATGACTTGGTGATGGTAGTGGTGTTGAATGGGTATGTGTTGGCAGAAATAGCCTAATTAAGATGGGGCAGTAGCAATAAAAAGTGAGGAGACCGTGATGGCAGAAGACACAGGAAACTAGTGTTGCAGGACTTCATCAATGGTGACATACCCTGAGTGATGTAAGTCCCTGGGGGAGATGTGTGAAGGTCTTGTCAACTTAAAATGGAGACCTGACGGACTAAATGTACCCTCAGTGAACTGTGGCCCACTGAATCCCTACTGACCAAAGGCCTACACTGGATATAAAGGCCACCGGTGATCCTGAAGACCGTGGTAAGTGTGTATGTCTTATGGATACAGACCCTCAGTGAAATTTAAATGAATAAACCAGTGGATAAAAGAATGAAATGTTTTAGTGCAAACAGAAGCATCAGACATTAAGTAAACATGGTGGGAGACTAGAGATAGATGGTCAGTATTTAAGAGTACTTGTTGATCTTGTAGAAGATCTGGGTTCTGCTCCCAGCACCCATATGCAGGTTCACAACCATTCCTAACTTCAGTCCCAGGTGGGCGTGCTGTGGGATGGTCTTTCTGTCTGCTGTGAATATGTGTTGCTACCATTGGTTAATAAAGAAGCTGCTTTGGCCTATGGTAAGACAGGTTATAGCCAGACAGGAAATCCAAGCAAAGATAGAGGGAGAAGAAAGGTGGAGTCAGAGCAGACACCATCCAGCCACCCAAGGAATAAGATGCTGAGACCAGTAAAGCTGCGGGCATGTGGCAAAATATAGATTGATAGAAATGAGTTCATTCAAGATGTCAGAGCTAACTAGCAATAAGCCTGAGCCATAGACCAAACAGTGTGTAATTAATATTAAGCCTCTGAGTGATTATTTCATAAAAACAGCTGCTGCCCGGGAAGGATCGAGAAACTTCGGTCTACATGAGGGTCTCTGCAACCAAGGCCAGCAGAGTGTCAATCCACATGAGGCAAGAAGGAAGTCTGGTTCAACACAACTCAATAGCCACTATTGGTTCAAACTTCAAGAGTCTGACACCAGGCAGTTTAATTTTAGGTATATTTAAGTGCAGTAAATATGGAAAAAATTTCCTGGTGATAATTAACTCAGTCACGTGTGTACAATAAAGCTGAAGCATGACTGTATCAAAACTCTTTGTAAAGTACATATGTCCTCTCATAAAGATGTGTTCTACAGAGAGACCACGTGTGACATCTTAAGGGTGTGGGGAAGGATCTGGTGTGGTCTCAGTCACACAGACAGTGCAAAGATCACCAGGCTACAAACCACCTCTGTTCTTGTTTGTAAAATACACGTGACAACTCCCACAAAAGTGGGTTCTACAGACTAACAGAAAAAAAAAAAAAGCTCAATGTAAGGGTCTGGAGAGGATGACTGAGATAAACATAGGAGTCCGGGGGAGCCAGATGTAGAGCCAGATACTGCTAGCCATACAGATAGCACAGAGGGTATTAACCACATCCATTCCCAGTTTTCTGGGTGGAAAACAGGTTGTATATCTCTTTCTTTAAAGAGACAATCCAGCATTTTCAACATTCCTGGTTTTCCTAGCGCTTATCTGTGGCCCCTACAATCCAATCCCAAGGAATCTGATGCCTCCCTTTGACCTCCGCAGGTGCCAGGCACACATGTGATGCACATATATACATGCAAGAAAGACACTAATATACATAAAATAAAATAAATCTAATAATAATGAGTAAACAGGTTGGTCTATGCTGCTGTCCCACGCACTGATGTGAAGGGCACACCTGATACCAGGATCCCACCTGGAGGAGTTTGTAGTTAGTGTAATGTTACTTCCCTTATCTCTGCACTCACCCTGTGCATCATGCCTTTCCATGATACAGCACCACTACACTAACACCCCCACAGCCTCAGGATCACAGTATATTACAGGATGCTCAATAAACACTTGCTTATTTCAAATCAACTGGATCCCCAAAGCTACATACAAAGTGAATCAAAATGAACAGAAAAAAAATTAAGCTGCTTTGCATAGGACTGTTGTGATAAAATAAATCAATGTTTTACTCTAACATTTACCCAAAATGCTACATAAATATGAAGTTTTGCTTCAATAACTCATCCCCGCAAAAATGAAAGATGACACCAGTTGGATTAGATGGGGGCTGATGCTACAGACGGGTTGAGGACAGATAAAAGAATGCCATCTGGGAATTTTTAGACAACCCACACAGATAGCTACTATCTTGAAATTAAAGGTTTTTTGAATACAGAAAGATAAGACCAAATGACTCAAATAAAAATCTAAGCCAGCTTTATGAATTCTATCAGAAAAAAAAATTTAATAGGCATAAGACCATAAATTCCTTAAGAGACTAGAAATATTATACTACATTGGTTTCAACCTGCAAAACCATAAAACAAGCAGCTTTTGGTCTAGCCTGGTATCAGCACCAGCAGAAGCATGATGCTCGCTATGAATCATTTTGGTATGAACCTAGCCTGTTCCAGCTCAGAGCTCAAGAATTTGGGATCAGAAGGAAAGTGACTTGAATCTTATCCAGGGTCTGCCATTTATTATTTATCCCTGGTTTCTCCAGCTGTAAGATGTGAGTAGCAATGGACCTAACTTTTAGTGTTATTGCAAGAATTCAATCAATAAGTCAAGTATTTAGGGCAGTGTCTGCAACACAATAACCAGTCACTAAGCACTAACTGAGGCTGTCCTCAGCTCTATACATTAGATAACACAAAGACTAGCATGTGGGGAAGCATGGTGGCTCGTACCTTTAATCCCAGCATTTGGGAGGCAGAGGCACGTGGATCTCTGAGCTTGAGGCCAGCCTGATCTGGACAGGGTTCTAGGACAGCCAGGGAAACACAGAAATCTTGTCTCAAAAACCCAAGTGGGGAACAAAACCAAAACCAAACAAAATGAATAGCATGTAAAAGGAAGAAACCGCATCCAAAAAGGAAATTTGGAAATAGCTATAGGCAGACCTTAAGAAACACCCATGAAAGCGGATATTTCCTGTAAAGTTGGTAAACAAGAAGAGCCAGACCTGGAGTCTTCGGCACTGAGAATGGCAGGTAGCAGTGATCTGTGTGCTGAGATTGGTGGCGTTGCATTGAGAAAACATGTTGCTACTAATTAGAGGTGCCTATGTGGGCAGGGAGATAGCTAAAGGGTGTACAGTATTGCTTAGCACAAATTAGTCAACACTGGGTAGCAATAATTCCATTTTTATCTTCTGTATGCAGATTAAAATGCCAATGACAAAGAATGGCTTCAAAGTTTTTAAAAATAAAACAATTCACATAATTTGGAGCGCTCTCTCTCTCTCTCTCTCTCTCTCTCTCTCTCTCTCTCTCTCTCTCTCTTTTTTAATTAGAAGTAGTTACAAGACATTCCAAAAAATTATAATAAAGCAGTATGAGAGCCATGGGAATCATTATGTTAGTTCAGCCAACGGGAGAGGTCAGGTGCATGTGACCAGCAACGGGAGGCAGCGCTGTAAAAGAGATCACGATGAAGACGTCTTAGTCTTCCTTCTGTCGTTGTGACAAAAAACCTGACAAAAGCAATATGGGGAGAAAACATTATCTGGCACACAATTCCAGGTGACAGTCCAGCAGTGTGTGGGAGTCAAGACGACTGGAACTGGAATCAGCTCGTCACATCCTAGCCAAAAGCTGCAAGAACAAAGGCATGCGTGCTTCTGCCCAGCTCTCTTCCTCCAATCTTATAACCTAGGGAATGGTGCTACCCGGGGTGGCCATAGGTTTTCCCACTCAGTAAGATAGTGCCCCACAGACATGCCCACAGAGCAACCTAACCTTGACAAGCGCTCACCGAGATCACCTCTTCCCAGGTGATTCTACATTATGTAAAGTTGACAACTGAAACTAACCACAAACAATATTATCCCAAGATGCCCACATTTGTGCCCCATTGGTTGCTCAATATTATACAACCTGAACCAAGGAAAAGGTGCCTGCATCATTTCATTCCAGATGCCAAAGAAAATTGGACTTGGAGTCCTGTAAATGATAGATTCCTCATTAGCAACCAAAGGCCAAAGAACTATGCTTGGTGCCGCTGAACGCCTTCACACCTGGAGATGAGCTGGTTGATAATGTTAGTTAGCATCACTCAACATAGTGTAACAGAGCTGCTACTACTGATGATGGAGCTGGAACCTACCGATTACTGCCTGTGAAGCTGTCCCTGCAATTTAAATATGTGGGTCCTTGGGGAAAACAAGAGGTGAAACACAAACTCATGGTTGGGGCATTTGCTTTGGTTGTTACTGCTTGTTTCTCACTAAAAGGTTTGCTTTAAGTCTGGATGATCAAAATTAGAACACTGAACTTAGATACAAATGTCCTAGTCACGTGATATGGCTAAGGTGAGTATTTAAATAGCCTTCTTGGGGGCGGAGAAAAAACTCAGTAGTTACATGCATTTGTGTTTCTTTCAGAG